CCCCAAAACCCCAAAACCCCAAAACCCCAAAACCCCTTATTTGTCACCCAAAATTGATGAATTTAATTTATACATGTTGCTGATTGTATATTTAAAAGAAGAAGAAATTAAATAATAAATAATCTAAAATGGAAAATAAGAGACAGCCCACCAGAAAAGCAAAGTCAATGGACACCAAAGTATTGTCTGTGATGAAAAAGCTGAACGCATTCACACTTGATGATCTAGAGACAGCTACTCCTCTCAAGGTTACCTATATCGCTAATAAGAAAGCAAGAATCGTTAAGTACAACGATGATAGAAGCACTGCTGATGAGAGCCAGTAAATGCTCACACTGTTGAACAGGGTCGATCACCTGCTCTATAAATAAGATCGTCCTTGTGAGGACAGGCGACATCACCTTCTTTCAAGAAGTCTATTAAAGCATCTATAAAGACTTCCTAAAAGCTGTGATATCCCTAATAAATTATTCCTAATAATGAAATTAATCGAAAACTCTCTCTTCGGGCTTCTCTTTAGGCTTCCCTTTGAGCTCCTCTTTGTACTTCTTTTTTACTTTATTGATGGGGCTCATAAGCTGAAAGCTGCACTATAATAAGAACTCGTGTCTGTCGACAGGTCTAATCTCACTTGAACAAATCTCTTCTCATTCTTCAAACCATGCACTGTCAGCAGATCCTTAGAAGCTGAACTAAGCATACTCTATCATAAGCAGGCTACAGTATTTGATGAAATTTTGAATATGGGAGCTCTAAAGCTCGTTTAATAAGACCCTGTATACTATCCAGGTTTACCTATATTTTTAATTAATAATGTCCCACCGCGAATTCAATCGTAGCAACTCAGAATTTCATGACTTATCATGACAGATATCTCTGCATTTTTATGATGAATCGTACTAACCTAAATTTGGAATATGGAGGTTCCACTAGCATAAGAAACCTCGTGGCTTCATCAGAGTATTCAAAAGTTTTCTCTCCTACCAAAAAGAAATTTCTGTAGTCTCCAATCTAATATTGCGAGATAAATAGGTAATTAAGGAATGCTTGATCAATGTAGGTCGATTCCCAGAGCTGAGAAGGTTCTGTTATGATGGGTTCTCACAATTCACCACATTCTGTTATATAATCTCATTGTTAGGGAAAGCTATTTCACCAACTAAGGTTAATTCCGGCTTTTAGATTGCTGATGTCTAATTATTATTCTCCCAGTTGTTATTAGAAGACCAATATCACTCATAAGTCTGAATAACATATAATCTGACAGTCACTATATCTCAATAAAAAGCTTCTCCAAGGACCGGAAGCATGACAGTTATGATTAAAAATCTCTCTTTTTCTGATAAAGTGATCGCTTACCAGTAAACATGGCTAGCAACAAATTTTAGCAGAAGGTAACGAGACGGGTAATTTGATCAATTCCGTAAACCTCATTTCTAATACAAAAAGTTCTCGATTATTTCATATGTAAAAGAGGCCAAATACTGCTATTATAGGCATCATCGGTCAGGATCTCTAAAAAAATTGATTTTTTGCTTAGTTATACTCTAAGGATAAGTCTCTACTGAACCAACACTTCAAAGATTATTACTACTCACAGCAATTATCTTGACTAGTACCTAAATTATTTTACCACAAAGCCTCTATGCCTGTGCTGTAAACTAACTAAGCATTTTTACCCTGCTGAAGGCTATGATTCTTTGTAGAGAGAAGGTTTGAAGAACCTATAAAAATATTCGAACCCATCACGGTTTTTGTAGACTCAATAAGTTATCTTATAATATGCATTGAAATAGCCAAATTTTCCGGAAACTTTTGAATATTAATCAAATTTTCCCCAACCCCTACTCGGGTAAAGTTATTTGGGATAATAATATTAGAAATTTGCTTAAAAAAGTAGGTTTGACATATTATGGTTTATTTTTCTGACATCAAATCTAAAACTTTTTCCTTGATTACATATTATCAAAAATGGAAACTAATATTTTTACAGCATTAAAACTAGTTTAGTAGGGTTCTGACTAGTATAAAACTGTTCTAGAGGAATCAAATCGGCTGGAATACTGAAGAAACAGATCGTAGTGGGGTAGCATGATACATTCTTTATTTCACTTGATTTAGGTAGACTGTATCTGCCCTTGCTGCTAAATTTCAATTCACCGACATGTTTCAGGGGTTTTGGGGTTTTGGGGTTTTGGGGTTTTGGGGTTTTGGGGTTTTGGGG